CATGACGATAGCTCCAATTCTGATCCAGTGGAGTTTGAGTCATCTTCAGAGAGCAGCATTGATCCCTCAGAGCCGGAGCATGAGCCTGCGGTCCAAGGGGGTCAATCACCACAAGAGTTTGAGGTACCTAGCGTACGCACACCAGGATTCCAGGACAGGACTTTGTACGGTGCTGAAGAAGGGTATTTACTGGTACACTACCTCGATGACGTTCTTAGGGTTCCCTTGCCAGGGTGGTCCCAAAACGCCATTCAGGCCGTTATTCAAGGGATGTATGGCCAGGGTGGTTGGTCTCCTTCATGGATAGACTTTTTCACGATTTTAGAGGGCAGTGGGGTCCCCCAAGAACGAGGTATGCTAGTTAATGTTGGTTCAGCTATAAGTATGCCTCAGGGTCAACCGTTGGCCATTGAAGATGTGGCCTCTGTTCCGGGTCTGCAGTCCGAAGTCACTGAAGTTTCTGGACTTTCGCAGTCAAGCTTGCTCCTGGCAGTGGGTGGTTTTTGCTTAGGTATGAGTTTAAGTTCAGGGTTTTTCAGTCTTGCCTTGAGTTTTGGGCTTGCTGAGTTCAGTGGCGAGAGTTGGATCGTCTTGATCTGGCACGGGCTCATACTTTACAGGGCCGTACGGTTCATGGCTGTGATCCTATGGGGAGGGCTTTCCGATCTTCCAGGGGCACTGGGCTTTACGGTCGAATCAACTTCTGGGATGAGAAGTCATGCTCATAAGGGACCTTCAGGGATCCTTTTGGTTTGGTTGATATGGATCCTTAGTGTTTGGGCTAGCAACCCCTGGGGATGCGGCATCCTTTGAGAGTAGTCACCCTTTAAGGGACAGCATGTTAGACCAGCATGGACTGGTTCTTCAGTCTCAGGCTGTCTGTAACGCCCCTACACCTGGTCATTCCGGTAAAGGTTATGGTGTATGGTGGTTAGTTCTCCTAGGGTGCATTATTCTTGTTTTGGTATGGGAAACCTTTAAGTGGGCAGTGCGCCGAGTTCTTGTCAGCAAGAAAACAGCTGAGAGCGCGACTCAGACCGATGACTTTCCACTGCTGCAGCATCCTATTCCCCAAAGCGCAAGGCCATTGTCTGGGATCCTCTTTGCGCTGTGGAAAGCCGATCTGAGTGTTCCTATCGAGCTATATTCGGATCAGGTACAGCATGAGTACTTTGGTTACTTAGGGAATCACCTGCAGAGAATGAGCGAAGGTGACGACCTCTCCGATTAGCTCTAGGGACGTGACATCTTTTCCACCTCTGACGAGTGGGAAAGAGGATTTCACCGTAGAAAGCTATGCCAATTCTATGTTAGGGGCTTATCCGATAAATATCTGGGCTTTTAGAACCCTTGTAGACTTAGTCTGGGGTGCTTGTAGGCTCCGGGGCGACAGGATTGGTATATGGCTGGTACAGTGGATGTCTGTGGGCTCTCAAACGAAGTTCCCTTAAAGGGACCACCAGAATACAGAGGTGGATTCGGAATTGAGTCAACAGATTTTCATCCATCAGTTTGTTAATCTCTAAGCCGTTCGGAGTGCGGGCATGCTATCTTCAAAGTCCATGGGCACCTGGTTGCTCGACCTTGGCGGTCCTGCAAGGGGGAGTGCGTGAGCTTGGACACTGAAACAGAGAAGATTAGCATGGCCCTTGCGCAAGGAACCGACACGTGCTGCTACCGAAGGCTGTTTTTTCGTCGAGAAAAAAGGACCAGGCGCTTTGGTTTCGGGTAGATCCTAGGGTTTAGGGGTTCTGCAGGTACCTCTAGAGTTGGGTTGTTTGACCCCCCTAACGGGGTCCCCATATCTTAATACTGGTAACCACATATTAAATCCTAAACCCTAAAACCTTAAATCCTGAACCCTCAAACCTTAAATCCTAAACCCTAAGACCTTAAATCCTGAACCCTAAAACCTTAAATCCTAAACCCTAAAACCTTAAAGCCCATGCCAGGTTGGAGCGCGTTCAGCGCGAGGTGGCGGAGCTGCTGAATTTGGAGGATCCTCCTCAGCTAAAGACAAGAGTAAGACGTTTAGGGTTTGGGGTTCAGGGTTTAGGGTTTAGGACTTAGGGGTCAGGGTTCAGGGTTTAGGGTTCAGGGTTTTAGGGTTTCGGGTTCAGGGTTTAGGGGTGTTGATATATGAGAGAGATACAGTTTGGAGGTCGATCTTTTTTGGATCCACTCCTGAAGATCTCTTCTTGAAACATCCCTTAAGATTCCAAATCCAGTTTAGGCAATTCCTGGAGTATTACAGCGGTGATTAAGGGGATACTAGAATCGTAGACTAGGATCAAGTGTTTTCAGGTTTGGGGCAGGCTTTGGGCTCCAATGCTTAGCCCTCACCTTGTCCAAGGTCTGTCTTACGGCAAGGACGGGGTTGGGTTAGTTTTGGTCACAATGTTTGCCCGAAGGCTGACAAAAAACCTGCCCAGCCCTCCGTCCTCCACTTTTGAGCTTGCTTCAGCTTTTCAATGTTTTTCAGTTCTTTTCAGAAATGTCCTCCTGCGGAAAAAGAGCTTGTGTCAGATTGTTTGCAGGTATTTCAGGTTTTTCAGAACTATTCCTGTCCCTTGGTTTTTTGTGGGCATTGAGCTAGGAGGCCTTTGAAGTGTCGCCACCGAACCCAAGATCACAGGTTACACACGCTTGTCAAACAAAGGGCATCTTTCTTGGTTGTCCTTGTGGTAAGCAGGGACTGCTTCGGGTGAGCCTGCAGTTTGAACAATCACTTCGGATAAGCCTATGTCAAAGCAAGAGGTCCTGTGGTCCAAGGCAAGGGGGACCCCTGCTTGCCCTATACCCTTAAGGCCGAAAAGAGTGCAACGCCAACCCTTGAGGACGTGAGACCAGTGCTTGCACAAAGGCCCCGCGTCCAACTGCTGAGGGAGAGAATCTGCCGATTCATGATGCTGGGAGTGGACCGTAAGCAGTCCGAGCTATATGAACCATAGTCTAGACTCCTTGTATACCCTGAATAGCCCCTATAGTAGTCCCCTATACAAGTATTCAAAGTATGCTTTCTGCATTGCACGCGTCATCATGCTAGTCGCCGGTCTGTTGGCCTTGTTGAGCAGTAGTTCTGCATGTTGCTTTTTTGGCCTCGTCAATTCACAACCAGCGTAGGTTGCGGCCGGGAACGTCTCCAATGTTGGCCGTCATCGCTGTTGCTGCCATCCTGCCTTACTTGACCGCAGTGTACCTGCATGTTTTGAGTGTTCATGTTTTGGTTCTTATTTGCTGAATTGAATACTATTCCAAATAGAGTTGTCACGCATCTCTTGGGTTGAGACTTAGACATGTGCATTCCTGGCATCATCTGCACTCTGCAGCTCCTGAGTCGTCCTAGCAAAGGTGTCTAGCGCTGGTGTTGGCTTCGACCGGCATAAGGGAACCCTTGCGGGGACCGCACTCCCAGGTTTGTTTAAGAGCCCCAACATCCGCCCATGGAGTTCCAAACCCGAATGTTAAACCCCCAAGCCTAAAACTCCACACCAAAAGCCAAGCCAAATAGAATCGTCAAAAGCCAGGCGGCTATGGCTGCGGCTGGAGTTGTCTTCTCTCAAGCCGACTTGGATATGTTTCAAAGGTAGCCCCTTCACCTGGCAATCAACCCCCTTACCCCTAGTATTAGACATTTCCCATAAACTATAATATTCATTTGAGAATATTCATTACTTATTAATAAAGGGGGTCGGGGAGTTCATTGCGAAGGGGGTGCGATTCGTCCGTTCCCAACCATAAACCTGAAAGCTCGCCGTTCGATTTAAAGCACCCGCCCTCCACATTGCTATTTGGCCCAGAATGGGATTATTTGAGCTATAGTCTAAACTGCTAGTATCCCCCCTTTATAATCAGCCCTACAATACTCCCCTAGATAATCCCCTAGATGACCCCCTTTAAGAAGTTATTTAGACTACAGTTCATATAATGTTAGGAGGGTGGTGGTCTTAATCTTGCGGAAGCATTCGGCTTGAAAAAGAAAAGGATGCTTGATGCGGTGGCTGTTGTGAACCAAGCATTCCAGGATTTTCTCAAACTTGGGGTACCTTTAGGAAATCTGTGCATATGAGCTATAGCCTAAACCCTTGCATGGGGTTATATAGAGCTCAGTAAGGGGGATACTAGGAGTTTAGACTATAGTTCATATGTATGTAATGGGTCTATGTGTGAGTTGCAAATTGTCAGCAATCAGCAGGTCCGTCTTTAGGAAAGTTGAGTCATTGAGAACCTCCATGCTCAAGCTTTCTTTATGCTTTGTGTTGGCGGAGCGGTATTCTGAAGAAGATGCTTGCTATAAAAAGCTCCAAGACGCCTTCAGGCAGTTAACTGCCAGGTGGTTGGCCCCATGCAAGGTTAAGACATGCTCTTACAGGGTAAATGGGCACATATATATATATATACACACACATAATATATATATATATACATACATACGAGGTCCACGTTGCCACCCGTGAGGTTACCCAATTGAAGTGAATCGCCGTTGGTGATCCCGTGGCGATGTGGGTTTTGCTCAGCCATATGGGACCCTCAACACTTAACCCGAGGGCCTCAAGAATCGGAATAAACAACTCTTTGCGCTCAAACCGAATTCTCAACCCTCGACCAAAGCCCTCTACGCTTACCTCCACAGCAGCAACCCTGAACCTTTAACCCTTGACACTAAGCCCTTAATCCCAACCACTGAACCCCTAAACCCCTAAACCCTAAACCCTAATCCCTAAATTCAAAACCCCTAAACCCCCAAACCCCTAAACCCCTAAATCCCCAAACCCCTAAACCCCTAAACCCCTAAACCCCTAAACCCCTAAACCTTCAACCCTAAATCAGTTGGAAGCTGCCCCCTTGCAGTTCGAGCTCGGGGCTCCCGCCCCCGGAGCCGCCAGGAGAATGCCAACGAGGCAGGGGTTTTGGTTTTAGGGTTTAGGGATTTTTAGGGTTAAGGGATTTTTGGGGTTTAGGGTTTAGGGATTTTTAGGGTTTAGGGATTTTTGGGGTTTGGGGTTTAGGGATTGAGGTTTAGGGTTTAGGGATTTTTGGGTTTAGGGATTTTAGGGTTTGGGTTTAGGGTTTAGGGTTTAGGGATTTTAGGGTTTAGGGATTTTTAGGGTTTAGGGATTAGGATTTAGGGTTTATAGGGTTTAGGGTTTAGGGATTGGGGTTATAGTGGGATAGTGGAAAAGAAAATGGAAACTACTATAGTATATTGGGGTTATATAGGGGTTATAGTGGGATAATGGAAAAGAAAATGGAAACTATAGGGATTCTAGGGAGTTTTGGGGTTTAGGGTTCAGGGATCGGGGTTTGGGGTTCAGGGCTTAGGGTTCAGCTTTGGGATGTAGTTGGATTCAGGGATCAATTTCGGGGGATTTGGGATCCATGAGGGGTTTTGAGGGGTTTTAGGGCATTGTAGGGCTTGAGGATAAAGAGTTGAGGGTTTAGGAGAAGTCTGGGGAGCAGGGAAGTCTGTGGAAGACAAGCAGTACTTGTATGTATAATGACCGTAATGAACCCTACTTATGATTGTTACTGGGAAGGCCAAGAGTTAGGAGATTCACAAATTTTTCCTGATATGGCATGAGGATTTAAAGTTGGGAGGGGGGAGTTCTTCATGCTTTAGGCACTTGGCATTGGAGCTGTGTACGGAAGGGGGAAGTAGCAGCTGAAGAAGCAAGACAATGGCAAGATCTGGCGGGAACGGTAACGGCAACGGGAATCACAAGTTTTTGAGCAGCAGCGATAGCGCGATGAGATCTGAAGCAGGATACGGATGCGGCGCAGCCACCTCCTCCTCCGCCGCGGGAGCCAGAGATGGAGGACTGTGATTGATGCTGACATACTACATGACGTTTCTTCTCTTTCTTCTTCTTGTGATTCTTCCCGTTAGCTCGTCTTTGCGATGGTCGACAAAGGCTTTTTGTTGAATTTGAGCAGTAGCGTAGAATTTCAAGCACAGAATTTCGAAATCTGTTGACCCGACCTTGCTGTTGACCCGACCTTGCCTGTTTCTGCCTCAGCCATGCGAGGACCCGCGGAGTGTGCGGGGGCTCAGAACACTATAGTTCCCAAATATAGAGATCAGTCAGGATGAGATCCTCTTTATTTAGCTTGTAAACAACAAGAAGGGTTGGTTCTTATTTGGTTCAATCACCAACGACAACTGTTCGTAGCTTTTCACCTGTGAGGTTGCTCCCATGCTTGGACTTGCAGCTTGTAGGACTGAGTAGGGCCCCTTTCCGACGCATCTGAAATCGAAACTGCGCCTAACTACGCATCCTTTAGCTTGAGTGTCTTGCCGCCAATGTCATCAGAATTCAGAACTGAAGCTAAAATCTGTAGTAGCGGCTGTAGTGCTACAGTATCTGCCAGCAGTAACAGAAGACAAAGAGAGCACCAACACGACTGATCTTTCCCAAGACACGCGAGCTGCTTGAAGAGTGCAGAAAGCGTGGCTTGGACACCACTGGGCCAGGGGCTTAGATTCCAGTGGTAGGTTCAGGCCTAATTCAGGCCAGGCAGCCTTTCCTTTTGATTTCAATGACTTTAACCCCCTCCTTGGGCAGTGTATTGTGTGTAGGGCTTCAACAAGGGAAGTGAAAATTAGCTTGTAGAACTGCAGAATGCTTTATAAAGTCCTAGCAGAAGTTGCAGCTCAGGTGCCAAGTCAGGGAAGACCTTCTGCATTTGTGCGAGCCCTGGCAGTCACGAGGGTAACTACGGTTTGTAGCATGTTTACAAGGGTGAGTTTCTTTATCAACTGGCGCAGGCTTTTTGGCTGTTTCCTTCCTGAGATAAAGAGCTCTCCTTGCGCTGACTGTGAGAACTGCTGAAAAGCAGTGTACCGGAACCCCTGGATTGGTACCTACCCTCCTTGAAGACATGTCATGTTCAACAAGAAACATAAAAGCGGGATCCCTATAGTCTTGCCACTGTTCTGTTGTGTTCCGTTCGTTCATGCCCTGCCAAGATTTAAGCCCTAAAGCCCCATGGTGGTTTCCATTTTCTTTTTCATTCCCTAAAGCTGAACTCTAGATTCGAAACCAAACGCCCTAACTCCTAATTATATCCCAAACCCTAAATTCTAAACCTCAAAC